TCCTTGGAGGAATAAATCTAGTTTCCTCTTGAAGATGTCCACGGTTGTTCCGACACTGATAGTGTGTGTGTGTAAGTATTGTCTACAAGACATTCGTGTAGACGGTTGGAGGCGACCTGTCGGTGTACACAGCTTTGACAAGAGGAAGATTCTCATTACCTTTCTTGGTGACGGGAGCGGGGGCTACTTACATGGTGGTGTTACACATAAAGAGGAATATCAGTGACAGCTAGACTGCTTTTACAAGGAATGTTCAGCTGGACGAGATTGTAGTTATTTTTACTCTGCCATTTATCATACGAGGAGAGAGACGGCATGTTGGCACCAGTAAATAGTGTCTTAACGCCACGGAATAATTTGTCTCTGGCCAACGCAGGAGATGTCGGCTGTGTGAATTATCTTTAAGGCGAAAGATGGTGTTTGTCTTTCCTGATTCTCTCTAGTTATGTTATTGACATTTAGGTAGATCTTTTTCAGTAACAATTCTATGTTAATTACAAGCCATATTTCACACTGATGATTCCATGAAAATGGCCTGGGGGGGGGGGTGAGGATAATTATTATTTCCTAAAATCATTTAACATAGGCCTACCCCTATCCAGCCTATGTCCGTCCCGTACCACAGACCATTCTTCCTACAAAGTTGGGCAAGGTTAAGTCCCCCAAGTGTCTGATTTCTAACTTTGTAGACTGTAGAGACATTAATTCTGTGTTATAGGTATTGTGTGTGTGTATATGCATGTATATATATGTATAATATACAGACACTTTAGGCTTCTATCGGAATCCCCGCAAGGGGGTACTTTACCCCCTCCCCCCTATAACAGTTACGCAACTCTCGGGGTGCCTATTTACTGCTGGGTGAATAGAGGCATTAGGTGAAAGGAAACGTGAACAATCATTTCTGGTCCATTCGGGAAGCGATCCCTGGAGTCTAGATTGCGAGTAGAGCACGAAGCCAACTGTACTGCGGGGGCCCCAGGATTCGAACCCCCCCTCGCTCTGTGGAGTGTGCTCAAGCTAAGTATCAACCAGTATGAGATCATCTTCTAATTTCTCCTTTATCATCACTCCCTCGCTCTCTCCTCCTCCTCCGGTTGTTAGCAGGAGGGTGAAGACGCCCTTCACCCTATCCTCATCCCTCTCTCACCCTACCCTCTCCCATCACTCATCCTCACTACATTTCCGCCGCCATCCTTACTGTCCTTACTCTTTATCTGCCCATCTCTACCTTCCCTGCTATCCCTTTCCCACTGCCTCTTGTCCTCCTCCTCTCCCTGTCCTCTGCATGCCTCTCTCCTCACCTCTCCTGTGGAGGCCTCGCCTCAGAGGAGAGGCCTTCTTCTCTATTCACCATCACCATATGCCTCTCTTCTGTCCGTCTCTCTCTCGACTCTGAAGCTTTTTTTTTTTTTTTTTTTTTTATTATTTTCTACCACAGACGTGGCCACACATTTACAATGCTAACCAGCATATATACATTTTCTTCTGTCCTCCATGGACAGGGTTAGAGAAATGTTAAACATATAGTTCAAGGGTTTATTGAACACTCAACCACAGAAGGTGATTCGGTGCTTTTAAAATGCTAAGCTAACCTACATACGTAAATACATAGATACACAGATTTACATATGCCCTACATAAAGTGTTTGATGTGTCTTTTACATAGTGTCATTAATGTGCATTCACAAAGGTGAAATGTAATTCTGATCAGCTTCCATATATACTTTATACCCATACATATACATACACACACACATATACATACATATATACACACACATGCATTCACATACATTTCTCATTTACTCTGACAGGGTGAGATAGCTGATAAAGAAACTAGTGTGCAATTAAGCACTTAATCACTGAAGGTGATGAAGGTGCTTTTACAAGCTCAGGTTATATAGTTACATCATATATATACATTGTATAAATGATATATTACATGGTCAATCTTGGATATAGTCCAATATATCATCAAGTGTTCCAGTACTCGTATAGTAATTACAGAGTTCAGCATATCTTAGCCCAGGAGGGCGAAAGTCAGTCAGTATGGGACATTCTACAATATAATGTTCAAGAGAGTGCATGTTTTCTCTCACAAAGTTGACACATTGTGTACTCGACATTTGGGTTTTGAGAAAGCTGCCAGATACGTCTATATCCCAGGCGTATTCTGGCCACTATAACATCACATTGCCGGGTTCTTGTTCTATTAGTCCCATATGTGAATGTCTCCTCACGATATCTATTATAATATTTAATGCTACAACTTTCAGGTCTTTGTGAATTTGTTAGGTCGGTGAGATTTTCATTAGATATTTGTTAAGTATTCTCTTTGTCACTGCTAATGAAACACTCATATCATTTTCTACCACTGGTTTTCTGCAGGCTGACTTAGCAAGCATATCAACAGTGCCATGCCTTGAGATGCCAACATGTGATGGTATCCATAGGAATTTAATCTCAAATCTGGTGTGTTGTGTGGGTACCTTGCGCTGTAAGGGGTGGAGACAGGTAGATGTTGCCATGGTAACCTTGTGTCATAACTATCTTGCTGTGTTTGTCACCAGCATCAGTTGAGTGTTACTAGATCATACTCGTGGACCTGATGGACCAGGATATAGGGTGATGGACCAGGATATAGCATGGACAGCTTGGGTATTTTTCCCCCCTTAGGTACTGGAAAGGGGGAGAAGGGGCAGTATTTGTATGGGTAGAAAGTAGTGTTGTTCATGGCTGTACATTTAGTCAATAAAATACAAGGACTCTGAGTGATGAGAGTGGGGGAGACTTTGAGCGGGAGTCCCGCAGGAGGCGGTACTGAGACCAGTCTTATTCTTCGTTAATGTCTTGGAGGACAATAGCTTCCTTAATGATGTCTGCCAGTGACGTGAATATTAAGAGGATAAGTGCGCAAGATGATGATGATCGCATGAAGCCCCCAAGAGGACTTTTGACAAAATGCAGTTGTCAAAGTGGCTGCTAGAGTTCAATATGGGTAAATGTACTGTAATACAGGAGGGTGCCACTATGGTCATTGTAATAATCGTGTGTGGCAGTGTTTCAGTTGTTCCGTGAATGCTCGGGGAGAGGAACTGTAATGGTTCTTTGATCGTATTGTTGATCGCCTATTGGAAGCCTTGGTTTAACTGTGTTCACTATAGGCCTATGGGTTATACAGTATGGATAATTAATGGTTGTCCAGTACGATCATTTATGCACTTTTATAGAGACTATATCAATTGATCATGTTTGTTTCCGCATATAATGACTAAGGGTCATCCCTAAAATTGGCCACAAATCCGTGAGACCAGAACACATCAGTGTAATAACAGGAGTCGCAGACACACCAGCCATGTGGTGTAGGCAAGCCTCTATACCTGAACAGGTGACACAACGTTCCCACACACACACACACACACACACACACACACACACACACACACACACACACACACACACACACACACACACACACACACACACACACACACACACAGTAGGCTCAGGAATCTGTACACCAGTTGATTGACAGTCGAGAGGCGGGACCAAAGAGCCAAAGCTCAACCCCCGCAAGCACAATTAGGTGAGTACAATTAGGTGAGTACACACAGGTAAGCAGTTTCACACTCGTGGGTCCCTCGATCTTTCCAACCCTCACCTGTTCTGACTGGACGCGGAGGTATACTTGATCAACACAAGGCAACATTAATGTGACAGGAGAGTGTCTACAGTATGGCCGGCCTTGGCTCATTCACACGCACGCACACGCACTCACACGCACGCAACTCCAACAGCTGGAGGGGTGACCTTGTGGTATCCGCTGACACGGAGAGACGCAGCCGGAGGAATGTGAAGGTGCTGGTCACTTCCTTCCCCTTCACCGCAAACACTAGTGCTCGTGGTGGACAGCAGGTGGCACTGACAGCGATGAGACAGGTGGCAGGGCGTGACAGGTGGTGGACAGTCACAGGGAATCGGAGCACGAAGCTGGACGACACGGCGCCCATATGACACGTAAGCTAGTGGCACGGCACTCGAGGTCAGATTGTACTCGCAAAATTATATCATAGACTTATTGCCCGATTCTATGTCACTAAGCTTCCACTAAGGAGCGGCACTGATCTTCATAGTCCCCATGTCACTTACACAGTCTTTAAACCCTTCACTGTTCAGTGATGTCTCAGATATAACACGATTACTCTTTTTGAACACTGATGCGGCTGGGGTGGTCACGTGACCTCCTCAGGCGCATCAGTGTTTGAATCATTTGAATGCAAAGTGGCGAGTAACTTGCCGGAGCTTCTGTGGTTTTGGACACTAATTTGGACGGTATTCACAGTGGCCTCCTATGGCCAGATTCACGAAGCAGTTACGCAAGCACTTACGAACCTGTACATCTTTTCTCAATCTTTGGCGGCTTTGTTTACAATTATTAAACAGTTAATGAGCTCCGAAGCACCAGTAGGCTGTTTATAACAATAACAACAGTTGATTGGCCTTTTTCATGCTTGTAAACTGTTTAATGTAACCAAAGCCGTCAAAGATTGAGGAAAGATGTACACGTTCGTAAGTGCTTGCGTAACTGCTTCGTGAATCTGGCCATTGGTTCATAATAAAACTCTGGAGTTCCCACACTGATTGGCTAGCGCTCTTCCTTTGTCAGCGGTCCACCACATGTCTAGACCAATAGCAAACAAGCACAGATGCCTAAACCAATGGCAACCCAACATGCCCGTCGACTATGGTCGGAATGATGTCATCAAAATGTAGTGGAGCAGCTGGTGACCTCACCAACTGTGTGTGCTGCTGTAACACACTCGCCCCACAATGACCAGGGACCAGATTCACGAAAGCACTTACGAACGTGTACATCTTTCCTGTGTGTACATCTGTGTGTGTGTTATGTCTTTGAGAAGACTGCCATTACTTAATAATATTAATAACAACATAATGTTTCCTCTATAACAATTAACTACTTGTCCTTTCATCCACAG